TCACCACATCCTAATGGAATAGCAGTAAGGAAAAATAGGACATTATTAGACATGGTAAATGTGATGCTTTCTAGTTCCGGTTTAGCAAATAATTTATGGGTGAAGCTTTGTTTTCAGCATGTTATATATTAAATTGTGTACCTTATAAAAATTATGATGAGACTCCTTATGAATTGTGGAAAGGTAGAAAACCAAATTTAAGATACCTTAAAGTATGGGGTGTCTAGCTAAAGTGAGTGTTCCAAAGAATAAAAAACAAAGCTTGGACCTAAAACCATTGATTGTGTTTTTATAGGCTATGCGTTAAAAAGTGTTGGATATAGATTTTTAATTATTAAATCAGAAATTTCAGAAATTTATGTTAATACTATTATGGAGTCACGTGATGTTGTATTTTTGAGAACACTTTTCTGTTGAGAGATCAAATTCCAAAGCAAATTAGTGAAAATGTCGTTGGGAAGCTATTAGCAAACAATTAAGATAATGAAGAACCTAGGAGGAGTACAAGAAGTAGAGTTGAAAAGAATTTTGGTGAAGATTTTTACACTTTTATAGTACAAGAAGATCCTAAGACATATAATGAAGCAATGACATCTATTGATGCACCTTTTTGGAAAGAAGCAATAGATAGTGAAATGAATTCTATTATGTGTAATAGGACTTGGGTGTTAACAAATTTGCCTCATGGTAGTAGACCGATAGGTTGTAAATGGATATTTAGGAAAAAGTTGAGAACGGATGGATCTATAGAAAAATTCAAAGCAAGATTGGTTGCTAAAGGGTTTAATCAAAAGGAAGGAAATGACTTTTTTGATACCTATTCTCCTGTAACAAAAATAACAACCATAAGAGTTTTAATGATCATTGCTTCAATATATAACTTAGAAATTCATCAAATAAATGTTAAAACTGCATTTTTGAATGTAATCTAGACGAGGAGATTTATATGGAGCAACCCGAATGATTTGTGGTACCAAGGCAAGAAAATAAAGTATGTAAGTTGGTCAAATCTCTTTACGATTTAAATCAGGCTCCTAAACAATGACATGAAAAATTCGATAAAGTAATACTCTCAAATGGTTTCGTTTTAAATGATTCGGATAAATATTTTATTCTAAAATAACTGAGAATAGGTGTGTAATACTTTGTCTCTGTGGATGACATTTTGATTTGTGGAACCAATGAATATATGATTTGTGAAACTAAAACTATGCTTTTCAAATAATTTTGATATGAAGGACTTGGGCCTTGCTGATGTTATATTGGGAATAAAATTAACAAGAAATAAAGATAAGATTATTTTAACCCAATCTCATTATGTTGAAAAATTGTTGAAAAAATTTAATTATTTTAAGTATAAACCAGTGAACACACCATATGATCCACACATGTACACCTAAAGAAAAATTTAGGTGAAAGTGTATCACAACAAAAATATTCATAGATTATTGGATCATTAATGTATTTAACCAATTGCACTAGGCCTGATATTGCTTATGCCGTCAATAGGCTAAGTAGATATACTTCTAATCTCAATCAAGAACATTGGAAAGCTATTGAAAGAGTATTTCGATATTTAAAAGGTACCTTAAATTATGGTCTTCGTTTTCCAAGGTACCCAGCAGTATTGGAAGGATTCAGTGATGCTAACTGGATCTCAAATTCGGATGAAACTAAAGCTACTGGTGGCTATGTTTTTTTTGTTTGGCGGTGGAGCTGTGGCTTGGAAGTCAACAAAGCAGACTATTATATCTCGGTCAACAATGGAAGCATAATTTATTTCATTAGATTCCACTGCAACAACAGAAGCTGAATGGCTAAAGTGTTTATTATCAAATATACCTCTTGGCAGTAAGCCTATTCCAGCAATTTCTCTACATTGTGACAATCAAGCTACAATTGCCAAGGCGAAGAATTCCATTACAATGAAAAAAGGAGGCATATACGGATCTGTCATAATTCTATCAAACAGTTGCTTAGTCAAGGGGTAATTGCACTTGACTTTGTGTGGTCCGAAAATAATTTGGCGGACCATCTTACCAAAGGGCTAGCAAAGAGGCTAGTTCAAAGTTCATCGAGGGAAATAGGATTGAAGCCTATAAGTTAGTCATTGCAGTGGATACCTAACCTCTGTGATTGGAGATCCCATGAAGGAGGTTCAATAGGTAAGAATGAAACTATAACATGACTATGTTGAGCACTGAATTGTAACAAGGAAAATTCCCAAGTCCCATTTCTAAGGTGATAGTGCTCTAAACTATGATGGTGATAAGGAGGAGTAAATCTCTTAATGAGCCCAAGGCAAGATTCTGCAGGGTGTTGGTCACTGAACATCCTTGGAGGGTTCACCTATATGTGTGTTTGTAGTGAGGCCGCTACTATGGGATGTAGACTAATCCCAAATGAAACGCTCATGAAAATCAAGCCACTCGCGCATGGCCGTAAAAGCACAAAACTGATTAGAACTTGATCTAATACACATACTGTGTGTGTGACGAGTAGAAACTTGAATTAAAGAACCTAGTTCAAGATTTGTTCACTTTTGTTCTTCATATGGAAGCTAGTTAACGCTAAGTGAAGGTTCAAGTCTGGAAGACACCAATCACCTACTGCATGGTATTGTTGTCCAATTTATTTTTATTTAATTTTAAATCATGAGGGGGATTGTTAGTATATATGATTTAAAATTAAATTTTATTATCATTTATTCATATTAATAATTTCAGCCCCACATTTATTTTATGATTATGATTTTAATTTTTGATTTTTGAAATTCTTTAGGGGTAGTTATATGTAATAACTACATATATCACTAATACATATATATATACATTGGAGTTACTACATGAAGACTAGCGTTGAAGCCAAGCATTTCCTATACATTCATATAACCGTAAAAGGATAATGGCTATCTATTAATATATAAATAGACATGTGATCTATCTTCCTTTGATATAGAAAAATAACTTTCATATACATATTCCCCTTCATTCTTTACTAGTTTTGGTGTGTTTTGTGGGCAACTTGGATGAGATCAGTTTGTTATAGAGAGGTTCACACCTACACCATAACTTCTCTCAGATTGTTGTATCTTGGGAAAAGAACGTCGAAAAACTCTGTGCGGAGAGGACGTATCTCTTCCTAGGACAACATTCATCTCACACTTCAATCCAAGCTATTCTAAACTTATTTTTGATCTAAGTTCCATTGAGTTTATTTGATATATTTGCATGTTTATTTAATTTATGAATCTGTGATTTTATGTTTTATTTTTCTAACAAATTAAGGAACCCTCTCTCTTTCAAGGTAAATGCATGACTGTCCTTATGGTGGAGGCCTTTTGCAAGGGTTATATGGCACCTAGTTTGCCATGCAAGGTTACTTAACAGATAAAGCAGATGTTTGTAGCTTTGGAGATGTGACTGTGGAAATTATCAGTGGGAAGAACAGTGCCATCTATAGGCCAAATGATCAAAGTGTCTACCTTCTAGATTTGGTGAGCCAAACGCAAATACACACTCTATTAACTTTGTTTGTGAGTGTTTATATGCTCGTGTGTCCATGCTTGAAAAAGAAAATCATCATGAAGAAAACAAAATTTGTCGATGCATTGTCTATTTATAAAAAGCCTTCTCACTAGATTAATGGATGCAATGAAAATTTGCAAGCTCACGTTTTACAAGAGCAGGGAAATCTTATAGAACTACTCGATCCAGCCCTCAAATCTGACTACTCTTGGAAAAAAGCAATCACAATTTTAGATTTAGTAATGATGTGCACTAACCCATCCCCTACACTCATGGCAACCATGTCTGAAGTTGTAAAAATCATGGAAGGAAAGAGTAAGATAATTACCTCTAAAATCAGTGTCCCTTACCCGATGGATGAATTTACAACTGCCAAGGCCACCCCTCAATCCAGGAGCACATCACAGGAAGGGGCATCAAACACTACTTTATCTCATTCTGTCAGCAAAGAGATTGAAGAATCTACTTTATCTGCTGATTATACAGCTAAGATGATCAATGGACAACGGGGGATATCAACAACCGAGTCATCTTAGCTTCTGGATAATGGTTATTGATATAGAACCACTTGTAAGACTTTCAATTAAAAGGCCAAGGGTGTCCCATGTTTCATGATCCTGGATATCTTGATTTGTGCATCTGCATATCGAAAAAACAATGTTGCTTGTATATTGGATACTACTACAAATTAAGCATAGTTTGTGAAGCAAGACAAGAATAACTGTCATTTATCATTTCATGTTATCCTTTTTAGCCATTACACTAATAAATTCTTAATCATCCAACTGTCACTGTGCTCTTGATTTCAATTGCACCAAGGTCATGATTCTTAATGAAAAAATGGAAAAATGCTTATTGAGGGGAGTGGGAAAAGGACATAGGAGTATGCAAAAGGAATGAGTCAGAATGTTCACAAGAATGGAAAGGAATGTATGAGCTCTGTCTATGAGCTACCGATGCTGGGTTGCTTTGAATCAACATCCCTCTGTTCAGAACGTCTTAAGACAGTTTGGTCCATATCCGGTGTGGGCGTAAGAGCATTGAGAGGACCTTTTGGCTTCCTTAAGTAGGAAAAAAGCTTAAAAAATAGCTAGACAAGCAATCTATTTATGGGCCACCAAAGCATAATTCTCCCTCTTCAGTATGAAGAACCAAGACTAATCGGGTAGAGATCTTGGGCGGTGGTGGAGGAAGAACCATTGTGTATTGTGTGTGCTGAAGGGATCAGGATCTCAATTTCACCGCAGTTCTGGAGTTCCAACTCTTCATACTTGTCTCTGAGGGCTTTGAACTTCAATTCATCACTATAAATACTTGGATCCATGTTTAGTTCCTGAACAGTGACATGACCTTCAAGCATGCTCACTACGGCAGACATGTTAGGCCTAAGTGCCAGCAACGGATTAGTGCATAATATAGCTGTTTTAATCATTCTCATTGCCCCTTCCTTGCTAAAGTTATAGCCCAACCTTGGATCTATTGGCTCCATCAAACTTCCTCTACGTTGCAAAACAAGAGCCTGAAACAAGCATAAAAGCTAATGAAAATTATCAGGTATTCGACTTGGGGTAAAACTTGAGTATTTATTTAATACTCCTCTCACGAATGACACATCTTGGGTGATCCATCCATGTGGTTCTGGTGTGTACTATGGGAGCTATTTTTGGTGTAGTTTAAACACAAGATTCCTAGACTGTGATACCAAGTTAGTCCCCCAACAACCCTAAAAGCTTAAACTGATATAAAGGGGTGCAACAAAAATACTCATTCATACTTGAATGTGTGTCATGTCTACTATAAAACTAACAGTTTGGATTCGCATTGAGGGATGCATAGTAAAGAATTTGTTTTGGTTTCGTTAGCTCTTTAAATTGCAAACATGACTAATTTTAGTTTTTCAAATATAAGAAGTCCCTAACTCAAGACAGTTAAAGAACAATACTAATTGTTTTTTCTTATGTTAGTGAAGACAAAATATTGGCTGGCTGAGAAGTTCAACTTCTAATGCACCCAAGCACAGTAGTCCATGCTGAATGGTTCAAAAATAAGGAAGACATTTTAGGGACAATTTCTATTTGCCATAATGTTAGGGCTGGATGTGTATTTCTTTTTCTTTTAGGTTCATTATATAAATAAATTCTTTCACGGTTATGGTCAAGTTTTGCCGTCTAGCATTAAGATTGTCAATGAGATCTATTTTTTAACTAGAAGTCTAGGAACTTTTAATATCTATTGTGGTAGTGTTGGGCTTTTGTGGAGTCTAGTTTTGTGTGTTGATCCAAATGATGATCCGACCTGAAATAATGTTATGTGAATTTTAATGAGAAATTTTTTGAGGTTTGGTCCATAGAGCGAAGGCTTGGACCGATAGGCCCAAACCGTAGCTCTGATGGACATGCCTCGTGGGGGTTTGGGGGCAAAAATAAACAGGAAAATTGTTTGGGCCTGTTTTATAGCCCGGTACGTAGGATATATAAAAATCGTTACTTTTGTGTTTAGGGTTTGGATTGAAACTGTATAGCCTCCATCTGTATTCCTCTCTCTCAATAGTGAAATCCCTGCAGTTTCGTGGACGTAGACAAATTGTCAAACCATGTAAAATTTGTGTGTTTTGTTCTTTTTTATTTCTTAATGTTTTATATTCTTGATTGTGTGTGTTTGTCTATGAGTTTAAAAATCCCAACAGGTAGGTCTCTAGAGAGTGCAACTACATTGTATGGAAAAATAATACTTATATGGTAGCTACTTGTAATGCCTATAGATATATGACTGAGATAGTAAAAAAAAAGAAAAAGAAAATGATAACTTGTGATTTAACAGAGAATATGACATTTGGTAAAGCATAATATGATGCACCAAGATTCATGTAGTCGATCCCAAATAAGTGAGATAATACTTTGTTGTGTGGAGTCATAAATCTTGTATGAGCGCTAGTAATAATGTTGATAAACAGGAACTCATAAACACATAAACTATACACCAATGGGTAGGCTTTTTTAAGCATTCTACTCCTACATAGTACTCGTTTCTCATTTTTCAAATTCCATCATCTCGTTCTTGTTTTTCTAATGCTTTTCTTTAATCTATGTTGCCCTTTAATATATAAATTTAGGATTGTTAGCCTATGTTGAGATATTAAGCTTTCTCCTGAGATAACCTTACAATCTTTATATGCTAATCAGTCCGTTCTTTTACTTAAGAAGTGGTCTACTTGGCTTTTGTTTGGTCCGTTCTTAAAGGCTATTAGATGTTCTTCTCATTTTCTAAACAAAGTGTTTACCACTACAAGGTTACATGTCATTGCAAACTCTAAAATCTATTCTTTGACTTCATTTCGATCACCATATCTATAACCACCATGACTGTAGCGCCCTAAAATCTACTCTGTAAGACATTACTATATATAAACCATCTAACCATAAGAGCAACTAAAAATAACTATTAGATAACAAACCATCCATTTATCTGACAAAGAATAAATACTAAAACCAACAAAATATTGAAACTTCTCTAACTTACAATTCAAAACCAAAGAATATCTAGCAGTGGAATAATAAAAACTAATGAAAACATTGTTTCAAAAAAGTCTCTCCAAATACAATAATCAGAACTAAAACGAAGCATCTCTAAGTCTCCACTTCAGGATCCTCATACTAACCCTCTCCAGCCTCGAGATCAACGTGCTCATCTAACTCGACATTCTCCTCTCTGCCAAAATCTGTAATATGTTGTAGGGGGTGAGCAAAAGCTTGGAGGAAATTCCTTTCAAATCTCAACAAGGTTTAGAACAATAAAATATGGCATGTCTCTTTTGAAAAATAACATATATACTGTTTGAAAGTAAAACAAGGACAATTATAATGATTTCAAGTGTACGAACATACAATAAATCAATAAAAGAAATAAACATGTTTTAATTAAAGCAATCAATTAATCACTCAGTAGCATTATCTCATATTCTCATGTATGTTGGTTCATCCTCATTCTTGTGTATGTTGGTTGTTTCTCAAGAATCTATACAATGATTCTACCTCGTTCACCCATCACAACCACACAATCTCAATCATTCCCTGCAGGGCACATCACAAACCACTTTAGAAATGGTGTATACCGTCTCTTACAATATTGACAAATCTTTCACAAAGGTATATTATCCCTCAGCCTCGAACCTACGTGAACAACAGTGGTTGCTCTCACAAACAACAATCCACTATAAGTGTTAAGCAATCATCTCACTCCCACTGGGATAGACTAACATCTAATACTCTACGACAGCTCTCGAAGGCAATTCAAGTCCATCACACTCAAACCATACAAGAGTTGAAACTACAATATTCTCAACAACTACAATCTTAACCAATCACAATTTTCATTAACAATTCAAATATCACAATGTCACGATTCTTAATATACTACAGTAATAAAGGAATTAAAATATGTAAGAGATTATATCAAGAAAACATTCACAATTTCTATATTCAAAATTTTAAGATTTTGTCAAAAATCATAATTTCTTGGAACAAGAACAAGTATTAGATGAAAACATGATTTAATCAAGAATTAGGAATCAAGAATCCATGTATTTTTCACAATCAAACATGTATCTAGCAAACTTTTGAAAATTTCAAGAACAAGTATTCTTGAACCCAAACATATATTTTGTTAAAAACTCAAGTTCAATAATAAAAAAATCAAGAACTCATAAGTATTTATCATATAACTACCAAAAAGATTGAAAACATACATATATAATACCCTAAGTCTCAATGAAAGAACTTGAGAAGATTCTCCTACCTTGATTCCGTAGTTTGTGTGTAAACATAACATGTTTGATCTGTTCAAATGTGACAATCCCCCTTCAATCTTGTGTTTCTCTTCTTCTCTCTTGCTTTTTATTGATAAAAAAAAACTAAAAGGACGTTCTTATGGTATTTATAGGGTGAAAAATGGAGAAAAACACTAAAATTGATCGTGTCTGTTTTTAAGGTAGCGGCTGGATGGTACTTAGGCGTTCCAAAGGGCAAATTTACTATTTTGGATGAAAAATAAGATTTTAGGGTAGGGAGGGATGTCCGGACTGTTCTTGGGATGTCCGAACGGTGCCAATTTTTTGTCCCAATTTCAGAAGCAATTTTCACTTATTTAAAAGTCGATTCAGAAAATTTTTGTGAAATACATGTTTGTATCCATTGAAGTCTAGTTTCTACTATCCAAAAATCAGCTCAATAGGAGTTAGGACTAAAAATTTATGGCAAAATTACTAAGATAGTATCAAATTCCTTTCTATCCGAATTCTTTCTAAAATGCGTTTAAACTCCGGAATACTTTCTAACTTCTAATACACCTCATATTATCTCTCCCAAGGTTTCTTAACCTTCCAGATTCAATAGAAATCTTATTTTGACCTAAAACTATTTAGAAACTTACCTAACCACCATTCTCAAGTTTAAACGCCTTTGAAACTTAAACTTCACAATCAATTTGTGTCCCTAAGTATTTATTCCTACTGTTACAATCTATATGGTTCATTCTTACG